GACTGGTCACATGGACTGGTCACATGGACTGGTTACATTGACTGGACACATTGACTGGTCACGTGGACTGGTCACATGGACTGGTCACATTGACTGGTCACATTGACCGGTTGATCAGTCCACATATGGCCAGTCACCATGACCGGCCACGGAGCACCAGTTATTTTTCTCTGTCATTAACTGGTTAATAAATAACTGTTGTAATAATTATGATCATCTCAGTGATTACAAAGCCGCCTTACGAAGTGAATGAATCAGGATGGGGAGAATTTGAAATAACAATCAAGATTTTCTTCATGGATCCACAAGAAAGGCCAGTAAGTGTTCTGTTAGTTGCTGATATAATCTCTTGCAAAGTAAATAAGTTTTTGGAAGCAATTGAGGATATAACAATTAAATTTAATCAGAAAAACATTGATGATTTCTTCAGAGTCACCATGACGTCATTATGAAGTAATTAACAACTAATTAAATTTTTCGTTCCCTTGATAATGGAGTCATGATGACTCCTAAATGTTGCACATTTCTGGGAAATTAATTCAAATTTAATTATTGGTTACCTATCAATCATGTTACTTTTTGAAGTTGACTCAGACTGGGTGGCAATTAATATGCAACTAGTGACTGTTAAGTCTAAACATGCCAATGTAAGTCCTCAAAGTATTCTATTTGACTATTTCTATGGCCTGAAACCAGAAACCAAGATATACATACAACCTTGAAGATCCCCCAAACTTCCAAATGTTAATTGCTCTCAGTCAAAACACAGTTATTACCAGAAGTAACATCTATTGATAGTAAAGAATAATACTATTGTTTCAAAAGCTAATTACTTACGTACCATGGTGTTTAAGAATTGGTGATCCTGTGCTTAGTGTAATGCTTGTAAAGTTACAAGCCTACAGTTTGATCCTCAGTGACAAATCTCAGTCTTTTTCAAATCTATTTATCTCAAGTTTAAAATGGGCCCTTACACCCCCACCCCCTCCCCCCATCTTTTCCCCTGGTTCAAGATACCAAATGTGCTTTTTGTCCTTCTCTCCATACAAGTATTTATTAGTAATGGAGCTTTCTTCCATGAAAATATGAATTCACCATTTCCCATACATCAATTCACTGGTCAAACACAAAGTGCTCAAAGAAGGTGCCAAGGTACTTTCAAAGGATTATTCAAATTTGAACCTTGCAACCTTGACTGAATTCTTTGTGTTTGACCAGTGAACCGATGTATGGAAAATGGTGAATTGTTTTTTTTTCTCTTTCAGGTCACACTTTATCATTTATTAAAACTTTTTCAAACTGAGTCAGCACTTGCCTCTGGAAAAAAGCAACTGGTTGCTGAATTTTACGATGAAGTTGTAAGTCCAGTCTAAACAGAAAAAAGAAATTAAATGCTTTTTGGTGTTTTTGCATTCTTGTTGAGAATGATAATTATGGCAATTTTTTGATGTTAACAAAAAAGATTATGTTGATGAATAACATTCTAATAATACCCTGTGTTGTTGATAAAAAACGTAATTCTAATAATAGTAATAAAGATGTCGTTGGTGCTGCTAATAATGGTGATGATGATGATGATGATGCTTGTGATGATGATGTTGGAGATATAATCATGATATTCATGAATATGATGATGATAATGAAGGTGATGATGATAATGATAATGAAGGTGATGATGATGATGATGATGATGAAAAAGCAATATGAAAGATAAGATTATTGATATATGATCATGATGGTGATCTATGATGAATATGATGTTGGTGCTGGTAATAGTGGTGGCGACAATGGTTGTTATGGTGATGTCAGAGATGTAATGATNTGATGATGATAATGATAATGAAGGTGATGATGATGATGATGATAATGAAGATGATGATGATAATGAAGTTGATGATGATCATGATCATGATGGTGATCTATGATGAATATGATGTTGGTGCTGGTAATAGTGGTGGCGACAATGGTTGTTATGGTGATGTCAGAGATGTAATGATCATGATATTCATGAATATGATGATGATAATGAAGGTGATGATGATAATGAAGGTGATGATGATGATGATGAAAGTATTGATGATAACCTATGATGATTATATAATGATGCTGGTGCTGTTGTTTGTAAATTTGATACTTTTTGGCATCTCTCACATCCTTCAAAACATGGCTAAATTCATTAATATTAGTATAAATTGAGAGTACATACTTATTTGTTCAGATCTTTCAAGATCCCACRCAGATGATGCACCAGTGTTTATTGAGTACAAAGCAGTTACCACCAGTAAAGCATGAATCAGACTGTAAGTCAATCAAGAAGAAAAGAAAAGTACTTTTTTTAGAAAATTCTATTTACTAGGATAACAGAAAAGTCATTTGCAAAATGTACAAAATTTCCCCTTTTCATTATTCATATTGATGGGGTGCCTATGGAATTGGTGGACATAGAACGTGCACACATGCTCCTACGAATCTGGACAACTCTCACTATGTCATTGTAAAAAAAATTTTTAATAATAATAGTAATGATGATTGAAAAATAAATCTGAATAAAAAAATAATAAAAATAATTTCAATAATAAGTATATGTAATAGGACTCCATGCTGTCCAATTAAGAAATAATTGGACGAGGAAAATTCCGAGGACTGACAAAATTGGATGAGGCCGTAAGCCGAGTCCAATTTGGAAGTCAGAGGAATTTTTCGAGTCTGATTATTTCTTGATTGGGGAGCATGAAATCCCATTACCTATTAATTATATAGCTGCCTAATTAATCCCATATCAACAAGACCTGTCCAATTAAGAAAACAATTGGACAGTTACCTATATGGGATTAATGGGAAGCTGTATAATTACAATGATAATAATAATCATAATAATAATGAGAGGTTCTTATATATCGCATTTATACAACGTCTCAATGCGCTTTACATTTATGACTATTGGAGGAAACTACGGGCTGCATATTAAGGCACTATTAGCAGCCTTGCAGCTTACAATCATGAGTGATAAAAATTGAGATCTTTTGAAGTATCAAAGAGTGACAAATTCATCTCCTAACTATTTCCATTTCTATGACATTTGAGTCAAAAAGTGGTCATCACTTTTTTCGTTTTTTTTTTTTTTTTTTTTGGAGTGGTCAATTTCCCCCACCCTTAGAGTGGTGGTCAATATTTTCACTGTGTTTGCTTCTGCTACTTTCAGGGATAGAAATAGAACAAAGAACAATCAATTCTATCGCCACAGCAAGATCCAAGATAGGAAAAGAAATCACTCAACTGAATGAAAGATTAAAAGCCAGCCGTAACCAAATAAACCACCTGAAAGACGAAATAGCAAGTCTGGAACAGGACGAGCAACCAGACCAGCAGACTACCCCTGGTCAGTCACAGCCTCAACTTCAAGTTCAGATATCACCATTACAAATTGATCACCCACAGGTGACGACTACACATTGAGCCCGCTACACTAAAGCATAGGTGGTCAGCGGTTATTGTACAGTCACAGCCTCGCTTACATGTACAGATGCATCATACACACACTGCAGACAGTCAGTTCTAGTCTCTCCCTACCACAGGAAGCTCAGTAAGTTTTATAGCTTCAAGTATTAGAAATAGTGTCTCAATTTAAAGTGATTGAGCGTATGTAGATGTTGTAAAATAGCAAGAAGAAAGGCTCTGCGCAATCCATGGGATTTCCCCCCTGGATTGCAGCATCGTGATTCTTTACAGAGTCTGCATTGTTTCTGCTCAGCGATTTACTTCAAATATGCCAAATGAAGGCTGGGATGGCGCAACATGTATTTATTTTTTATTTTGTCAAATAAAATAGAAAGGACAAGTTATAAAGTACTTTTCCTTTCTCTTTCCGTAATTTTGTGAGTTCTTTGTGAGAAAGTTTTTCAAACGTCTGTAATGGAGCGAGAGGTGGGTTTTAGTTCATATATATTTATGTAAATGTTCATGAGGAGTTTTCTCGTTATGTCGAACCAAATCTAAACGATATCCGCATAAATGTAGTTCGTTATGAGAAAGTTTTTCTCGTTATGTCGAACCAAATCTAAACGATATCCGCATAAATGTAGTTCGTTATGAGAAAGTTTTTCTCGTTATGTAGCAACAAATCTAAACGATATCCGCATAAATGTAGTTCATTGTGAGAAAGTTTACTTAACGTCTGTAACTGTGCGTGGGGTTTTGTTTACAGAACGTGAGACTTGTACGGACTCGAAAATATCTCTCAAAACCAGCAGTCGTATTTATGATTGCCTGACAAATTGCGAAATAATGAAGGCGACAAAATGCGTTTACTTTGTGTACTTTAAATATTTTCATTCGTGGTGTCTAAGCTCATTTTTATTACAAAATTCTGAAGAAATTATTATTATTATTAAATTAAGCCAGTTTTGTTGAAAACGAAAGAAAATTTATTACCAACAAAAAAATAAAATGTCCGTACTGTACCTAAGGTTTGTTCTGTTTAAATGTGTTTAATTAATGGGTTTAGACTTGTTGATGTTTTAGTTGTGTTTTTAAGCTTCATACTTTATCTGTAGCTTGGTAAACAATCCTTCGGGCCTACTAATGATGATGGTGGTGAAGATGATGATGATGATGATATAGTGATAATGTAGATGGTGATGATGATGATGATGATAAAGATGGTGATGATGATGGTGGTGATGATGATGGTGGTGAAGATGATGATGATGACAGTGATAATGTAAATGATGATGATAAAGATGGTGATGATGGTGGTCAAGATGATGATGATGATGATATAGTGATAATGTAGATGGTGATGATGATGAAAATGGTGATGGTGGTGACGATGATGATGATTACTTTTCATTTGTACTTTACTTCCTGAACAATTACTTGACATTCAGAAAGTAATAAAAACACTGAACCAGCAGGATATATCCTTACCTCTACGATATCATTAAGTTCCAAACACTAGCCTTGAAATTAGACTTGTGTCATTCAAATCTATTCGAAGAACCTTGCTTTAGGTTCGATCTCTTTCTTTATTCAAATCAATGGGAGGTTTTTAAACCCCCTTCACTGACAGTGCGAGTTTACATAAGGTTTTGTCTATACCATAAAGAATTAATATTTGACAAAGCATTCGAATAATATTTTCAATCATTAGATAATATAGAGAGAGCAAAATCCGCAAAAACTCAATTCAAGGAAATTTAGCTTTATAGATTGGTTCTGCTTGAATGCGAAATTTGTATTTATGGGGATAAATTATGGTTGAGCAAATGTGAAAATTTGAAAAGTCAGACTAAACTAGCTATTTTAAATTTTCTTTTTTAATATTTCCGACAACAAGTTAACTGTAATCAATAATTTATTAGTTTTGTCATTCGGTTTGGTTTTCTTCTTACAGTAAACCTTTGCTTTGACTGTAAATCATAATAAATACTCTTGAAAAAACTTCTATTTTTCTATTCATATCGCTGTAATCTTGAAACTTAAAATCTTGAAAATTAAAAACGACTGTTTCGACTGTGCAGAGAAAGTTCGAAGTTACGTTCCCATAGGAACGGAACGTGTACAGTTCACAATATACCTAGTGAGCCAATTATAGAAAGATTTTGTGCGAAGTTCCTTTAAGCTGTTGAAGGAATTGCGAAGTTAAGGTTTCCCAAAAAATAGAAATATAACAATGTAAAAAAAACTTATTTTTGCAAAGGTACTAATTGCTAATTGCGGATGCGATTAAAATTAATAGAATATGAGAATGATATGAAAAATTAACGAAGACTATGTGAATTTTTATTTTATATAACCACATTACTATTAATTTTTTACTTTTTTTTCTTTCCTTTTTATTTTTAATTATAATACGACTTTTTCGTAGTGTATGTATTTTGGATTATTTTCATTTATATTATGTATTTTGGATTATTTTCACTCAGATAAGTTTATTTCTTATTCATAATATTACAATATTTCGGTTTTCGATATTTAATTGAATTGATATCACATGCTCAAAAAAATAGAGCTCGGCCGGAAGAACCAAAAAACGAAAAAGGTAAAGAAACACGCACGAATTTTGGAATTTGTCTTTTTTATCAAGATCCAGTTAAAAGGTATTTGCTTTTCTTGTTGTTTTTGTTGGCCAGTTCAACGTTTCAACTTCTTTTTTGGCTTTTTTGGGGACTTGCTAACGTCACAACACTCGGTTCCCATAGCGACATTGCAGCTGCTGTCTAGTATAAAAAAAGTTTATTAGCGAATAACTAAGCGAGTAAGATTTCGCTGCACTCCCAATCCCACCTAAAGCTGTCCATCACGATTATTGTAATATTTTAGATCAAAACCAAATCGTTCTTACATCGTGCAAACAAAACGTGTGAGAACCCTCGCTCACAAAGGGTTTGCTGCTCTATTTTCGCCACAACTGAGCCAAAATGCTTCTCGTCAGAACCGTTAGATAATTCATTTGAAGCCCTACATCAAGGGTTTTTATATTTTGGGTTTATACCGCCAAGAAGCTTCTTGAAATCACCGAAAATCAGCTACACCAACATGAAATATAAACACCTGCTTCTAATGTTAGGTAAGTGTCTAACAAAAAAGGAAATTTCAATGTAGCTTTTCTATTTAGATCTCGACTAAGAATTTTTCTATTTTTCTAACACTTAAACTCTATATATTCTAAAAGAAATTTCATATTGATTTTTTTACGTATTCTTCCATTGGGGTTTACCGTTTGTTTTATTTTTTTGCAGGATTTTTGGTGACTTTATTTTCATCACTTCCAGTTGGCTTTTCGCTAGAAACCTGGCACAACTGTTCTACGGTAAGTTATCTACAGCTCACAAAAACAAAAATGACTCGTGTATAAAAATACACACAAAAAGAAAAAATAACTATTCCCTAAGCTTAGAGAAAGACTTGAAAAACAATAAACAAAAGATAGAGCAGTATTTTTGAATCAGTCCAAAAAGAAATCCCTTTGATATTATAATAATAATCATATTGGCCATAATTTCAAATTGATATCAAAGAAACAACATTTTCAACTTGTGTTTATATATTACGAATCTTGCGTAGTCAAAGGCTTATCTATCTCTATCGCGCTATATATGCTGTAAATGTAGATAACGTAAGCGAATCCTTGATAGATCAAAGTAAAATTACTTCATCCCTCTCATGCACTGCTGTAGGTCTTATATACTGATAAGTACATGACTAAATCTATATTTCGCGTTGGCTAAATATTACCTATTCCTGAAAATAATTAAGAAATAGTAAAAAACTCCACCGAAAACTTTTTCCTTGCGCACTTAGCGGGATCCTAAATTATTCATGCGACGAAAATAAACAATTAAGCTATCTTGTCTTTTATCTCTCATCTCTTATTATGAAAAGAAATAATCCTAAAATGGGAAGAAGAGTTGATGTAGTGGCTTGTTTTCTAACTTTCCTTCGTCTAGCGTCGAGACAAGAAAGCGCCCCAAATTATCATGTTTCGTAAAAATATCATTAATGCGAGCCCTACTTGATTGTCTGTAGAAAGCTATATCAATGACCTCAAAAAAAAAGCCATTTTTGTTTACATTGAGAAACGCTTCCACTAAAACAAAAGATTGAATTGAATTTAAACTACATTGGTTACCATAACAACGGGGAAGACTTCCTTAAAAAGTAGGAAAAGGAAAGGAAAATATTTTAATTAGACTGAAAAAAGCGAGATTTAAAAGAATTTTCGCTAAATATAACAGTTAATAGACTTAAGTTGTCGTAAAATTGAGTTACGATTTCTGCCTTTAATTCTAAATGTTTTTATTTGATTCAGTATTTATTTATATTCCGTTTGAAGAAAGATCTAAAATTAGTGGGTTTCTGGCATAACGTCAGATTTCCTTTATCAATATTTTCATTTTTATGGGGTTCTTAATGCTTTTTTAAGGAAGTCGTCATTACTGCCATCTTTTCCTAAGGCAATATGGAGTAATAACTCATAAATAAACCAATTTAATGTATTTGTCAAAGCATGTGAATAATTAACGAGCTATGTCTTGCCTTGGGGCTTCATGTGCCCGTGAACCTTGCTTTACAAGTCGAGATAACCGGCACGTGTAAACGACCTAATGAACCCAATCAATCTAAGTATTGTACTTTCCCATTTCAGACCACGTGTCATTCTCTTGAGAATGAGATTCTTTGTTTGTGTTGTACCTATATTCATGTGTCTTCTCATGCTCAACCGTTAAACAAAGAAATGATACTCTCTAGGGGGAATGACACAGTCTGAAATGGGAAGACGGTGGATTATATTAGATCTGTTTCTGAACGCTTCTGTGATAACTTCAGGATTTTTTCACGTGTCACAACGCCATACATTGACATCAAAGCACATTTTTCTTAAATAAGTCTTCTTTTTTTTCGTTAATTTACTCAATACCAATGGAATTTTCTTCTTATCTTGAGGGAATAAAAATTCATGAAGTTTTCTAGAATGGTATTTCTAGAAAGCAGTCATAGATTTCGTGAAACTTTCTCGTTAAGAAATTTGCAAGAGAGTCAAGTCAAACAGTAAAACTTCATCTAAAACTTGTCTCCAACGATTCCAACTAAAAATTTCAATAAGCAGAGTACACAAGAGCCAAGTACTAAATAGTGTAAATTATGCTAAATATATTTGAAGGAAGGAAGGAAGGAAGGAAGCTTCTATATTTTACCACGGTAAAAACATCAGTCGATTGCCTAAAAATATTTAAAAGTAAAGATTTACGATTAAAAAGCTAGTTACTGTTTTACATGTTTGCTTTGGAGCCCTTAGTTACATCTTTTCTTACTGTACAATCAGAACCTGATTGGCTGATTTCTTGAGGGTAGGCGGCTTCCAGTCTTGCAGTAAACAAAAACCTATGTTTTTGTCGTGGACGTAGCGAAATATGGCGCTTTCCGTGTCCTAAAACGAGACATTAAAGGGAAGCATGATTATCGCGCGGGTATGGTAACGAGTTAAAAATAGCATCAATGATTCTAAAAATAGCATCAAAGATTCCTTCTCTTAGTTCATTTTCCTTTGGTAAAAAGTGTTTGTACCTTAACCTCGACTTGAATGAAAAAATAATCTTAGAACAAGATTGACATGTAACATAAACATCTTACAACAGAAGGGATTTTCCAATCTGTTATTCAAACGTCTTTTTCCGGTAATCTAAGTTATTAGTTCTTTCATCTTTATCAATATTGTTTATCTAAAAGCGCAAGCCTGGAGTTGTCAGTTTTGCAAAAGACTACAATGAACTACTAATCAAAATGGCTCCCTATTGTCATCGCCCGGTGCGAAAATAGTACTTCCACCTACTAGAATCTATAAACATAAACCCAAATGCAAAATGAATCGTTCATTCATTTCATTAGCGTTGATACTACTATTATCAGAATCCTCTTCGAATTCTTTTTTTTTTTTTTTTTTTTCTTTTTTTTTTTCTTTTTATTTAAATGTTTAGACTGCGTTTTGGAGTCCCAAGACGCAGTTACACTGTTAGATGGAATTCGGTTTTATTTGGTTTTCCATTGCAAAATTAATCCTCCATTTATCTTATAAGTCTGAGATATACCACTTCTACTAGAATCCTCTTTGAAAAATACTTCTTTAAGTGTTTTAACTCCTTAATTAGACCAACAACTGATTTTCATAATAGTGGTACTGATAAACTTAATACTCTAGAGAATAACATCTGAAATGGAGAAGCAATGAATTAGGTGGTTTAGTGACAAACTGACGTTTCTATTTTCGTTGCGAAGCATGACATTGTATTTGCAATAGATGTTTCTAGACATCTGGCTGTGCTGTTTATAAATTTTCCAATAGTTGCCCCGTCGACATCCCATAATGTCTTACTTAAAACAGTAGAATTCAAGATGGCGGCCGATTCGCTAAAACGTCCATTGATCAATAATACTACTTTACATTTGTAAATATTTAATTAAATAATACATTTGACAATGTTTCATGTTTTATACGATAGTTATCTAGGCCTGCAGTGCTTTGAAAATCTACTTAAGGCCGGTTTAGACGGTACGATTTTTGCCTATAACTATCGTATACAACACGCTCGCGTCTGTCGTAGGCGAGTTGTAGGCTTGATTTACACGCTACGACTAGAGTTATAGGATGGCGCGAGCGTGTTGTATACGATAGTTGTAGGCAAAAATCGTACCGTCTAAACTGGCCTTAAGATATTTAACTGTGTTTTTTATTTTCATTTTTTTTTTTTTTTTTCATCAGGATCCTTGCAAAAATTTCTTTTCTTCTCATATATGTTATATTTCCGCAACGTGTCAATGTGGTGTGACGGCAAACCGAACATGCAGTATTGATCCAGTAGTTATCGCAAACCAAACAGGCGCTGTTGCTCTTAATACGAGCCAAGGTAACCTGTCCTGCTGCATGTGCAAATCGAATGATACGTTTTGCTGTGCTGCGTATGCGTGCCAGGTTTCTACAACACCAGGAGCGTCAACAACAACGTCATCATCATCAACAACAACAAGTACTACTTCTACTACCACGATCCCTTCAAGTACGTAATGACTAACTTATTGATTGGTGCTGGGGTGGGTGGATGCATGCATGGGTGCATGGATGGATGGATGGATGGATGGATGGATGGATGGGTGGAGTAAGAA